TCTGTTTCTTCCCACCTTCGCAATATACAAAAACGTCGCATCACCCTCCCATACTCCCCCCCCCACGCCTGGGGGGGGGGGGGATTCTGGGAGTTGAAGTCCACGTGTCTTAAAGTCGCCAAGGTTGAGAAACACTGCTCTAAATATTACATAGCCAGAGTCCATTTTGTGGGGCTACCTGAACAGTCTTGATCACAGCTTGGATGAACTATAGCTGTGAAAACTGGCTCTAAATTAGCTTTCTTCCTGCCCCTTTCCAACCCTGAATGCCTTTTCCCTCCTGTGTTGCCATTTCAGACAGCAAGCAGGAGGCAAAGAACCCCTGCTAGTTGCTCTGGGCGTTTCCCTCCACCCGAAAGTTGGTTCCTCTAGTCTCGATTGAGTGCCTAATTTGGTTGGAATGGAAGATGGCTGCAGATACCCAAGCTGAGTCTAGGGACAAAATGTCAGTAATTATGAGGAATCTCTGTCCCCTGATAACACATCCCTGGGCTCACTCATGTCTGCTGTTTGGGTCTCAGCTCCTCTGGTGAGGATTCTTCTGCTCATCAGGGGAGAGCTGGGCTTTGCCTACAGAAGAAGGACCGTACCATCTCGAGATGCTTACCCTGTAGCGCTCAATGAGTTTGAAACCCACAACGTACTGCAGCTTCCGAAGGCATATCGGGCAGGGTTCTAGCGGCCGCAGCAGCACTTCGTCCAAGCTCAGAGCACCTTGCATGATGCACTGGAGCCAACGGCAATTCCCCAAGCCTATCAGATGACATATCTCGTGGCACGTGACCTTGCATATGAAAAACTAGGAATAAATAAAGTTGAACTTGCAATTCTTTCCCCACCTGGGGTTCATTTTCCTTTGCTTTGTTCTGTCTTCCTATTACTGGTGATATCTTTACTTTTTCAAACCTTCACATCCTCCCATTTGGGCGTTTTGAAGAGCTGCTCCAGCTGGGCAGAAAAGCATGGAATGACGGCCATTCCAGGCCATTCTGAGAGCTCGAAATGATGAATTTCGTAGGTTTCGCCCATCCCCAAGTCTGAAATTGCCTACATATGGAATACGAGCATGCCTACGCAAAAATCTTCCTGTCATTCTGGCATTTTATCTTTCTGCATGGACGTTTCTTTTTAACGTGAGGCAGCGTTTAAACAAATGACTGCTGCAATAATATTCCACTACCATAAAGTCCAGGAAGTGCCATGTGGTCACTCCCCAAACTGTTGTTGTGAAATGCTATGGAAGCGTAAGAGAGGTATTAAGGAAGTAGGTGACCTATACCTTTTCTAAATAAATAAAAAGAAACTCATCTCAGGGTGAGAGTTACAATAGTTAAAATTGCAGTGGGAGGCCTGGTATATAAAACGCTCAAATAGCACGTGGTGTGCCTTGCAGGAACATGTTTTTCATATACATTTCAGCTGAAACTGGATTACCCTCACAGAACTGGTTACGCTAGAAAGAAGCCAGAGGTCTTTTGCAGACAAATAAGTGTCAGACTGCTGAATGGGAAATTCAGACAGATTGGTCATTGTTTGCTCTTCCCATAGAGATTCCTAGGTTAATATTACCTCTGCAAACGGCCGCTCTTGTTTGCGCTAGTCCGAAAGACCACTAACGTGTCTTATAAATAAGCTTTCCAAATAATGTTAATTCATCATCGTGCAAATACATTATCAAAGGGTGAGAAGTGCCTGTAGAACCTCCTACAGCTATTGACTTCTTGACTAATTCTGAACCACCTTAAGATCAGGGTTTCATTGGCTTTCCGGATACACTTGCTCAGCCTTTGAGGTACCTTCTCCAAATAGTCCATCGTCCCCTTCTGCCTTGCCTAAAAATGACTCCAAACCTCAGAAAGTTCTTCCAGCAGGTCTCATTGCCGAGATCTTTTCAACTGGAAGCATGAGAAGTGTACAAAAAAGCATGTCTCTTACCATTTTGGTACAGACACTGGACCACACGCATCTCACCTTGCAGCACTGAAGCATTTCCAGCATGTTGAACAACAACGTCTGCTTTCTGGTTAGTTCGACTTCTTCATCATGAGCTTCCTGTCGCCGTGGAGATGGAGTTAATGTGGTGCAACCCACCTGGGGGAAGTCGCTGGAAAATCTGGCAAAGCTACAGACACCAACTTCTATGGAGAGAGGAAACCCGGGTGAGAAGGGATGGTCCCGTTTCCACACGGTGTGTCATCTCCTATGCGCACAACCGAGGACAGTTTTCCTGTGCAAAGTTGAACCATCTGCTTTAAAATTTTGCCCTTGGAAATTTTAAATCCATTTCCAGCATTAGGATACGTTTTACAGGATGAGCCACAAGATAATTCCATGCACAATGGAATTAAAGATTATCACAGCCGATTAACGTCAGCTTCATTGATAAGATTTTTAGCTTGCCCCTTTAAGGACATTTCTGCTTACAGGCCAGGAATAAGCAAAAAGTAGAAACAAAGAAGGATCAGGCAATGTAAAATAGCAGAATCAAGTCTTGAGCAAGGCTAGATAAACATTTAAAATTGTAATAAAGTATTTTAAAAAAATTGTTTTTAATCTTTCATTTCTGCCAGCATAATCCATGCCCAATATAAAAAAAGGGAGATAGGGCTGGTCTAGTTAAGCCTCAGAGACATCCCTACTACACTGTAGGTTAGTGGAGATTACAGAATTACTCCATAGCAGAAGAACTGCCAAGATTTCTGGATGCAGAGTTTAGAACCATTGGTTCTAATAACCATGGTTAATGCCATTTAAAAATATATTTGGGGGGGGGGAAGGGATTCAGTGGTCCACTGTCTTTCGGATCTGGCTTCACCTTTCAGTTAACATCCCCTGCTGAAGGAGTTTTGGTAGCGTGAGAGTGAACAACAGGGAGAGAAGGGCCAGGATAATGGAAGCTAACTGAGTCGCGGGGGCTTTTGTTTCCAGCTGTTTAGAATGAAAATGGATGGAATGTATGATGAATGAGCTCCTGGGAGAAATGGAAGAGAAGAAAGGGGCACCCCTTGAAGGGTCTTGAGGAATTGGTGGAATGGTGGTTTCAGGAGGAAAGCGTTGCTAGTCAGCTAGGAAAGCGTTGGAAAGACATTGTCCAGGTGTTCTGTTTTGTCCCCTTTCACAGATTTCTGTGGCCAAAAGATTTGCCATGGCCAACACCAGTCCTCCAAAGTCTCAAGTGGAGAACTGAGATGGTCCACCAGCCCATATTCTCTAATCTATACAACCTTTTCTACAGGGATCTCCAGACCAGCATTTGTAACGTTAAGAACGCTTTGGAATTTTAGTGCCTGACGAAGTACTAATTATCACGTAAGGTGAAAACTGGAGCAGAAAGCCGCGTTTTGAAGCTCTTTAGATCTCATCCACAGGTGTGGTAGGAAAGAGCTTCTGAATGTTCCTCTGCATCTCAGAAACCTCATCCCAACAGCACAATTTGTACGAGGTGGGCTCAACCTTTGGAGAGGGGATCCATCCCCACACCCAGTAGAATGCAGGATATAAAGCAAACCTTGGCCTGGCAAGAATTTGCCAAAGGTGAAACTCCACGTCTCACATGGGTAGAGGTCAGCAAGGGTGAGGCCCAGGACACACAGCGCATCCATTGGCTTGTTGTTCTTCAGAAAGGTCAGGATGCCATCTAAAGGAACAAAAGAGGCAGGGTGGAATTATGCCTGAAACTTGCTTTTCTTCGCTGCTTTGTAATAGAATTGGATGTAGCGTGCTTGCTCTTTTTCCAGCACGAAGTGCAGCCTGCCCTGCCTTCAGATGTTTCAAACAAAAGGCTGTTTCATACAAACAGCAGCTCCTTCCAAATGAATCGATACAAGTTCTAGCAAATGACAGTTGCAGACTTCCCAGCTCAGTGGTTCTGTCATGCAAGCAGCCATGCCACAAAGCGTCCCCAAGCTCGCACACTGCATCAAACCACAGCTTAAACCGACCCCAATTCTCCCAGTTACAACAACAGCTGACTAAAAGCAAAGCAAAGTTCAGACCCCTTGGAACGGCTCCTTCTGTGGAAACATCCCAGCTGTGATCCTTTGTTACTCACAAGCTGACCCCACCAAACATAGTGGACCTGCTGAAGAGTGGAGAGGCATAGCAGTACCGTTCCCCAACTGGTGGCTATTCTTGTTAATGGTGTGCCTCTTTAATGCTTCTGTTCAAATACACTGCAGTGTTTCTCTGCATCCTGGACAGGATCTGTATCTCAAGAGGACCCATCTAGAAAGCCTTTGTCTTTTTGGAGGCCTGCTGGGAATGCCCCCGCCTCGTTCCCCATCCAGTTCAACACCTTTCCCTGATGACCCAGAGATGAAAATTACGTGCTAAAAGGAAAAATCTGAACAACGGTTTATCTGCTTGTTGATACAATCATTAGGCCTCCAGTGCTTCAATCCCACTCCTTTGCCCTTTGTGTGTGGAAAAGAGGGATATCCTGGAAGGAGCTGAGCGTATAGATGAATTAAAGTCCCAGGTGACCCCACCACCACCATCCCAGGTCGTCCGCCTGTCGCCTTACCTGTGTGAAGCTGCACTCTGTCTGAATCCTGATTGTGACGGTAACAGCAGTGGATGGAAGAGATGGGGACCGAAGGGAGGCACTTAACTCGGAGGCCCAGAAAGAAAGACTCAACACAGCTCCGGAGGGAGTCCAGGAGAGAGATTCCAACGGGGCCTTCACTTAGGTCTGGGAACAGAAGCATCAAGTGACATTTTCATGCATTTTCCCGTGCTGACTGGGGCAGGGGGGAAGGGGCCACGTTTTCCTGTGGATGAAGATACACAAGAAAGTGGGGGACATTCTGTGGGTCTACGCGGCATTGTGGCCATTTAAGCAGTATTGATCTTATCCAGGAAATTCTTGCTTTGCTGTGGGGGGTGGGGGGAGTGGAAAAGTGTTTAAGAGCTGCTCTCCAGGTAATTAAAAGCATTGGCCTGCAAAATGAAAAAAGCCCATTTCCATGGGTTTAGAGAGCCATGTGGCAACATCTCAGATGTTGACCATACAGGAGTCAAAGCCGTATGAGAAAATGGATGTGGGAAAATACGGACGGGGCTACATGTCTTAATTCCAGAGGTTCTGTTGGCCCTGGTGGAGATTTACAGGAGGTTGGGGAACCCCGTTGGCTCTGACTCCTGAGGAATACCCAGGAGTTGAGTCTCCTTGCTAAGTGCTGCCCTAAGGAAGGTGCTATTGCCAAAGAAGGCAGGCAGGGCACCCTCCTTGCTCCGTCACGTGGTCCCCCACCCTCTTCCAAATCCAACAAGTTACCTATGGGTTGCAGATATATGTGCTTGCGACAGAATCGTTGCTTTTTCTTCAGCAAAGCATAGTAAAAGGTTTCAAAGTCCTCGGGGGCATCTGGGTGGCTGAGGATCCAGTCGAAGGCTGTCCTGATGAACAAGCTGCAGAAGAGGGTCCGGCGAGGGTTATAAGCTTCCGACAGGAAGAGCTTCTCGGTGCTGGAGAAGGCTTTAGCGTAGAGCTCCTGCAGGGCAGGATCTGTTGAAATCAGAGCATCCTTCAGTGCCCGGGGCCCAAAGCTGAACTCCTGAGCATGTCTGCACTGCAACATTGCTGACCACCAACTCTGGTTGGAAGGAGTTGCCTTCTGCAAAGAGAGGAGCCCGAGGTTAACCTTATTACCCATGCTTTGCCCTTGGTGAAGGTTATAAAGGGGCTCTCCATTCTGTGAAGCTGCCTAGAAATCCCACGCTTTTCAGGGAACTGGGGAAGGGTTCAGAAATAATGAAACCGCTTCTCCTGAGCCTTTTTTATGGAAGTGTGATCCAAGTATGTTTCTAATCATAGTTCAAGAACTATGTATATATCTGGATTATTATGGATAGATTATGAAACAAACTATAGGAGAGTTACATCTGCTTTGTCTTTCATGCACACTCCATGATAGATCAGAAGCTTCTCATGCTCAGTTCTTTCATTGAGAAGAATGAAATTCTGCTAAAAAGGACTGGTTTGGATTAAATCTCAGTTCCTTGTTGAAGTGATAACACAAATAAGCAGGGCAAATAGTTGCAGATAGGGACTGTATTTTTAGGTGTTAGACTCACGCCTAAACATTTAATCATTGGCTATAGAAGGAACAGCTAAGTAAGGGACAATGACTGTTTTACATTCTGTTTTCAAGATTGCTTGGAATCTGGTAGTTCTGGTTGGTGGAACAATAGCTAAAATGAAATTGAATGTATGCAGTCACAGCTTGGAACTGAATTGGATTCCACTTTAAACCTTTTTTCCAGTAGAGCAAAGAAAATGTAGAATGTCATAATGCCTCCCGTGAAGACCAACCCAAACACAACTTGAATATTGGTGGGCTAGTCCACGCCACATTTCACGTTTAGCCCTGCCACAACTTTCTGCCCACATAATGGAAAGTTCCAGGAATTCTAGAGACTACTAAAAATTAGTAATTTGTATTTTCTCAACTCTGGAAGTATTGACCCTCCACCTCCTTGTTCTTCCCCAGCGTTGTCCTGCTCCAGAATATCCGACTGGACTTCCTTCCTCAAATAAGATATTGCTATCCTGCCAAATACCTCCAAATTACCCCTTATGAAACTTGCAGCCATTGGTTCATAAATAATTCCTTTTGCGACTTAGCTCCTTCTTAGCAACTCCCAGCGTCCCTGAATTATTCTATTTGAAAGTACAGTTCTGTGCCACTCACAAACTGTTTTCCTCCGGCATTGTCCCCAGATAAAACACATATTGAAGAGATAACTGTAGACGTCTGCAGTATAATAAAATACAAAATCAACTCAGCAGCATTGGGTTCCAGGTAGAGCAGCAAAGCAAATTGAAGCCCAGCGTTCCATTTTTTTTGGCCGAGAAGGTAATGCTTAAACATGCTGGGGGTGAAAAGGCTTTTAATGAATTCTGTCAGTGGTCCTTGGTGACTTGCACCAGTTAATGAGGCTTTCTTGTTTTTTATGTGGTCCCATTTGGGTTGCTAGTAACCAGTAAAATGAGGCTGCATTTCTGTAGCGTGAACAGTATTTTATCCAAGGTCCTGATATGGAAGTGTTATAATGGTGTTGAAAAATCCATATTTTTTTTGTTTCTGGCTGCATAAAGTTCCCTGTAAACCACACTTAATTCCCAGTAGAGGGAACATTTGGACGAACGGATGACATTTAGGCCCAGATTAATGTATTTATTATTGGCCCAATCATTTTAAATCAATGGAATTTAATCATTATAATGCTTCTGTTTTCAGCATTAAAACTTTCAAACATGAGCTGAATCCACCAGCACAGATCATAGCTCAAATTCATCCGTATAGAATAAATCAGGAGAAAATTCATAGACTGTTAGCCTAGAAGACTTGCTACTGATGACTGTCAAATGCCTAAAGCAGCAGATAAGTGTTTTCCTATTGCTTCATTTTAGGAAAAACTAGTCTATAATTTTATAAGCTGCACTGTTGGAGCCCTGTAGGGAATTTTCCGACATTCTTGCATTTGAAAGGAGTTGCGTGCGATTGTGTGAAATTGATGGGCCGTGGAGCATTTTAAAGGTTGCATTATCAGCTCACTTTTGATCAGGAGCTAAAACCTGGTTTCAGTGAAACACTGGCTTCATGTAAAGCCTCTTTGCTGAATAAGAGGTAGAATAGATTTGTCTTTTTATCTGACTGTTGTACACTGCCCAGAGTCGCTTCGGTGAGATGGGTGGCTATATCAATTTGCTTAATAAATAAATTCAGGGCTGTCCTGACGACAACTGTTTCTGTTTTTGCTTTCCTCTACCAACGTTTGATTTGTGCAGAAGTTGACAGAGAATAATAGACTGGAGTCACGTATTATGCCATACCATAATGTACCTTATTTAGTTTTGACCTCGTGTGTTGTGTGAATCCAGCCAACTGGGGTATGGTCGACAAACCATGGTTAAATAAAATCTGTCAAAGCACGATGAGACTGACTAGGCTACAGCAGCCCAGACTCCTCAGGTGTTGACCTGGGTACCTGTATGCCCAAACATACCCTGTACAGAGGCACAAGTTTTATGTAACAATGAAAAAAATCTTACATTCCAGCATTCATAGCAAAAGCTTGCTTGAAGCCTTGGAAGGGGCAAAACGTGGGTCCTGAATTGTTCCTGGGGTTCTCTGCCTTTTGCAGGACAGGAGTAAAAGGAAGTTGGCTTTGCTTGGGAAGAACGGGAACAAATGGCTTCTATTTTAATGCTTTCGTTTCCTACAGACCGAGAAGGTTTTTCATCCTAGTTCCTCTATTTCCTGCCTCCCCCAGAACCTGTGGCTGAGAAGGTTTTCCATCCTAGTTCCTTTTATTTCTTGCTTCCCCAAAAAGACACCTTAATCATCATTTTCAGATTCAGTTTTACTCCAATTTATTTATCCTAGTCTACATTTCCTCTGGCCTGCCTTCAGAGTATTGGCGGTAGGAGTAAGAAGGAGGAGGTCTGCCCACACAAGTGTGGTTCTCTTTTTATAACTTTTAATTATGTATTTATGATTTTAGTTTGATGTAAGCCGCCCAGAGTCCCCCATTGTGGGGAGATGGGCGGGGACAAATCCAATCAATCAATCAATCAATCAATCAATAAATAAATAAATATAAATTTCTAAGATATAGTAACTTTATTGTGTAAGGTTACAGTATTATACACTCTGAAATTTTCAAACATTTTTCTTTCACTCTGCAGCAGTATTTCTCAACCATAGCAACTTGAACTTATATGGACTTCAACTCCCAGAATTCCCCAGCCAGCATGGC